TCTACCCCAGACTCCCACCCCATAGAAGCCCCCCACAACCTCCTCACCACTCCTAGACCCCCTTTCCTCCCTGTAGAGACCCCACTCCTTTTTTTTTCCCCCTCACAATCCTCCATCCACTCCCAGACCTGCCCTTTCTGCCCTACAAAAACCCCTTTTCCCCCTTTCAACTCCTCAAGTTGCCCTCCACAATATTCCCCTCCACAATGTACCCCTCCACCCCCAGACCCTCCTTTCCACTCACAGAAGCCTCTTTCTCCTCTTTTCTCCCTCACAATCTCCTCCCCACCCCCAGGTCCCCTTTCCACATCACAGGGCTTCTAGCCCACCACAATCCCCCAGTTTCCTCTTCCACCCTTTCTCCACCTCCAGACCCTCTTTCCAGCTCACAGAAGCCCCACTCACACCTTTCCCCCCGTAGATTCCCCACAACCCCCTGTCCACCCCCAGACTTTCTTTCCACCTCTAGAATCATAGAATCATAGAATCACCAAGGTTGGAAAAGACCTAAAAGATCACCCAGTGAGGAAGACTGTGAAGCAAAACAGACCTGGCTGGCCTGAAAGGGTCAAACAGGGAACACGCGGCCCCTCCTGAAAGGGAAGGACTGCCATGTGGAACTGGCAAGCATAAGCTACAGCTTCTTCGTTCCGTGACCAAGAGCAGAACGTGTTCTGTGGAGAGAACGCCTTTGGATCTCTGTACTGACCATCATCCACAAAGAGCTGATTAAGTAATGACGTCTTGCTGTCAGCTGCATGAATGCTATCTGATTGAAGTATTGTACACTCCTGTAGCTAAAAGATATAAAAGCCCTGTAACAACAATAAACTTTGCTTCTTGCGCCACCAGAGCCTCAGCCCGTCTGTCCCAGGCGTCTTGAGCTGCTCTCCGTCAGGGTTAGGGTTAGGGTTAGGGGTATGGGTAGGGGTAGGGTAAGGGTTAGGGTCAGGGTTAGGGTTAGGGTTAGGGTTAGGGTTAGGGTTAGGGTTAAGGTTGGGGTTAGGGTTAGGGTTAGATTTAGGGTTCGGGTTAGGGTTAGGGTTAAGGTTAGGGTTCGGGTTAAGGTTAGGGTTAGAGTTAGGATAAGGGTTAGGGTAGGGTTAGGGTTAAGGTTAGGGTTAGGGTTAGGTTTAGGGTCAGGGTTAGGGTTAAGGTGCTACAGAGACTAGCTTCGAGCAGGTAAAACTGTGGTGGGCAAGGGATCTGGAGTGAAGAAAAGTGAGCAAAAAAGCTCCTTTTTTAGACTTTTTTGGAGGCATCGACAGTGCTGTGCCTGGGCTGGCAGCTGGCAGCTTGTGGGCGGGCTCCTGACTCACCAGGGGCGGAGCTGACACTTCCTGCTCTTTATCTTTGAAGCTTGACCTTGGGCCATTTGTTGTGTGGATAAAAAGAGACCAGGGAGGGTGGGAACCGGTTCCCGCCCACATAACACATAGCACAAGCCAGAAGGTGTGGAAAGGTGCTCTGACCGCTTAGGGTGGAGGTAGTCAGTGTGTGAGGGCCACTAGCACTGCACTGCCCATTCATTAAGGCAGCAGTGGGGAGCAGAGGCTGTGTCTTGTGTCAGCACGGCTGAGTGCTCTTGTCTTTTTCTCAGGTGCCTGCTCTCCTGTTTTCTCAGGTGCCTGCTCTCCTGTTAACAGGCCCTGACACCACCTCTCCAGGCATGGTCCTCACCAGGAAACGTGCTTCCCGTGCAAAGACTGTGGCAACCCAGACAGAGGGTCTGCTCAATAATGTGGCGGTTCAGGTCTCTGGCTGCCGGGAGTGCCTCAGCCTGCTGCTGCCAGGGGAGGATGGGAAGGATGCCACTTGTGTGCAGTGTGAGCAGCTGGACGAGCGGCTCAAGCTGGTGGTGGAGCTTAGGGAGGAGGTAGGCAGACTGCGGGCCATCAGAGAGTGTGAACGAGAGATGGACTGGTGGAGTGACTCTGCGAGAAAGGCGCAGAGATTGCACTGCCCAGACTGAGGGGACAACGGACCCTATCTCTCATTGTAGTCAAACAGGGAGAGACAGCTTGAGAGAAGATGAGGAATGGCAGCTGGTCTCATCCCGGCGTCGCAGGCAACCCCCAAGTTCTCGACCTGCCTCGGTTCCCCTGGTCCCTCTCTGTAATAGGTATGAAACTCTGAAACCAGAGGGGGTGGTGACTGATGATAATGTGGGAGCGCTGCCACCAAGCTTGCCTAAGGTGAGGCGGTCAGCCCCGCGTTTAAAGACTGCCTCCTCCAAGAAAGAAAGGAGAGTGGTAGCTGTAGGTGACTCTTCTGAGAGGAACAGAGGGTCCGATGTGTCGGCCTGCCCCTACCCGTAGGGAGCTGTGCTGCCTTCCTGCGGCCCGGGTCAGGGATATTTGTAGAAAACTCCCCAGCCTTATCCGCCCCTCTGATTGTTACCCTCTATTGATAGTTCAGGCCGGCAGTGATGAGATCCCTGTTAGAAGCCTGAGGATTATAAAAAATGATTTTAGGAGACTGGGGAAGTTAGTTGATGGAGCGGGCACACAAGTGGTGTTTGCCAGTATTCCCTTGGTGGCAGGGACGAGCGCTGAGACGAGCAGGAAAAGCCATCTTGTAAATGCATGGCTGAGAGGCTGGTGCAAGCACAAGAATTTTGGGTTCTTTGATCATGGGGCGGTCTACTGGGCACCTGGCCTGAGGTCTGCTGATGGGAATTGCCTGTCTCCAAAAGGGAGACGGATACTTGCCCAGGAGCTGGCGGGACTTGTAGAGAGGGCTTTAAACTAGATAGGAAGGGGGAGGGGGATAAAGCTAGGCATGCTAGAGAGCAGCCTGGGGAAGTGGTATTGGGATTAGGTGAGAGGCGAGGGGCTCAGCTGGGGTTGGTGTCCCGTGGTACTGGTATTGTGTGGGGTGGTGGTGGGAGGTGCTGGGATCGTGGTGGGATGTGCTGGGATGGTGCTGGTTTGGTACTTGTTTGAGCTGGGATGGTGCTGAGATGTTCTGGGATGGTACTGTTATGTGCTGGGATGGTGTGGGTTGGTGCCTGCTGGTACTAGGATGGTGCTGGTATGGTGCTGGGATGTGCTGGGATGTGCTGGTATAGTGCTGGGATGGCTGGGATATGCTTGGATGTGCTGGGATGGTGTAGGATGCTGCTGGGAAGACACGCAGTGGTGCTGGGATGGTACTCGTTTCAGCTAGGATGGTGCTGGGATGTGCTGGAATGGTGCTGGGATGTGCTGGGATTGTTCTGCAATGTGCTAGGATGGCGTGGGATGGTGTTGGAAGGTGCTGGGGTGGCCCTGGGATGTGCTGGGATGGAAATGGTGTGTGCTGGGATGGTGTGGGATGTGCTGGGATGTGCTGGGATGGTATGAGATGATGCGGGAAGGTGCTTGGATGATGCTGGCAGGAGATGGGATGTGCATGGATGTTCTGGGATGGTGTATGATTGTGCTGGGATGTGCTGGAGTTGTGCTGCAATGGTATTGGTATGTGCTGAGATGGCGTGGGATTGTGCTGCGATGTGCTAGGATTGTGTGGGATGAGGTGGGAAGATGCTGGGGTTGTGCTGGGATGTGCTGGGTTGGAAATGGTACATGTTCAGATGGTGTGGGATGGTGCTGGGATGGTGCTGGGATAGTACTTGTATATGCTGCAGTGGGGCTGGGATGGTAATCGAATGTGCTGGGATGGTGCTAAGAGGATCTGGGATGGTACTTGTATGTGCTGGGATGGTGTGGGTTGGTGTCCGGTGGTACTGGTATTGTGTGGGGTGGTGCTGGGATGTGCTGCGATGTGCTGGGATGGTGCTGGGGTAGTAGTGGTATATGCTGGGGTGGTGCTGGGATCACAGAATCACAGAATCACAGAATTGTAGGGGTTGGAAGGGACCTCAGAGCTCATCGAGTCCAACCCCCTGGCAAAGCAGTTCCTACAGCAGGTCGCACAGGTCGGCATCCAGGCAGGTCTGGAACATCTCCAGAGCAGGAGACTCCCCCACCTCCCTGGGCAGCCTGTTCCAGTGCTCCTCACCTCACTGTACAGAAGTTCCTTCGCACATTTGTGCAGAACTTCCTATGCTGCAGTTTCCAGCCGTTTCCCCTCGTCCTGTCTCCACTCACCACTGAAAACAGTCTGGCCTCGCCATTCTGCCCCCCACACCTCAGATACTGATAGACCTGGATCAGGTCCCCTCTCAGTCTCCTTTTCTCCAGGCTGAACAGACCCAGCTCACTCAGCCTTTCCTCATAGCAGAGATGCTCCAGGCCCTTCACCATCTTGGTGGCCCTCCGCTGGACTCTTTCCAAGAGATCCCTGTCTGTTTTGTACTGGGGAGCCCAGAACTGGACGCAGTGCTCCAGATGAGGCCTTACCAGGGCAGAGCAGAGGTGGAGGATCGCCTCCCTCGACCTGCTGGCCACGCTCTTTTTAATGCACCCCAGGACGCCATTGGCCTTTTTGGCCACAAGGGCACACTGCTGGCTCATGGCAACCTGTCATCCACCAGGACACCCAGGTCCCTCTCCGCAGAGCTCCCCTCCAGCAGCTCATCCCCCAACCTGTACTGGTGCATGCAATTATTCCTCCCCAGATGCAAGACTCTACACTTGCTTTTGTTAAACCTCATCTGGTTTTTTTCTGCCCAGCTCTCCAGCCTGTCCAGGTCTCGCTGAATGGCAGCACGGCCTTCAGCCAATCCTCCCAACTTCGTATCATCACAAACTTGCTGAGGGTGGCCACCATCCCCTCATCAAGGTCATTGATGAAGATGTTGAACAAGGACCCAGCACAGACCCCTGAGGAACAGCGCTGCTTACAGGCCTCCAACCGGACTCTGCACCAACAACGACCCTCTGTGCTCTGCCAGTCAGCCAGTTCTCAACCCACCTCACTGTCCACTCATCCATCCCACTCTTCCTCAGCTTTGCTATAAGGATGTCGTGGGGGATCTCTGACTGACTGGCATCTCTCTGATTAAAATACATTGTATTAAAATGGCCACTTAAATGACCACATGAAAGGAATAACAGCAAGGTTCGTTTTGGTTTCAGTGCATTTGGCTGTACAAGGAGGTATCACCCAGGTGAAACTCCCTTCACTAGGAAAGCATCACGGACACAATGGTATCATGGAACTGCTGGGCTCTGTCCAGGTACACGCCTGGAACAAAATAACAATGAAAGAAAACTAAAGGAAAATGAAAAGGTCAAAAGTAATCGTAGAATCATAACAGAAAGAGTCAGTAAAACCCAGAGCTCACCTCATGTCTCTGTTGTAAGCACACCCACCGTTGGCAGAAACCTCACAGCATGAAGGGACTTGTAAAGAAGAGCGCTGGTTTGGATTCGCTCTTTGCACAGCGGCTGGAAGAACTGTGCACATCTCCATTACTTCTCATGCCTGTGAAAGTCGTTGTCTCGACATCGTTGCTGCCACTGCTGGTTCTGTATTGAACATGAGAACACGTGAAACCCCCATTGACTCGGTGCCCCTAAGGATTAAATGTGAAATGGCAAATGGTTCAGTCGTGTATCACAATGGAATCTGTACAGAGGATACTACACCCTAGCCCACAACCCTAACTTTAACCCAAACCCTGCCCTAAACATAACCCTGACTCTAAACCTTACTCTAAGCCTAGCCACAACATTAATCCTAAACCTAATTCCAAACCCTAACCCTAAGCTCAACCCTAAATCTTACCATAAGTTTAACCCTCAACCAAACCCAATCCCTAACCCTAACACTACCCAAAATTAACCCCAAACTCTAACCCCAACCCTAACTCTAATGCAAACCTGAAACCTTGCTCTAAACCTTTCTGCAAATACTAACCCTCACACTAATATTAACCCAACCTGAACATCAACCCTAACCCTGACCCAGTCCCTAACCCAAAACAAACACTAACCCTAATCCTAACCTTAATCCTAACCCCAGCTGTATCCTAACCCTAAATGTAAACCTAGCACTGAACCTAACCCTAACCCTTACCCTCAAACTTAACCGAACCCTAAGCCTACCCTGGCCCAAACCCTAACCCCAAGCATAACCCTAAAACTCAACACTAACACCAAACTCTAACACTAACCCTAACCTAAGCTTTCACTGCCCCAAACCTAAAACTAACTCTAACCCTAACCAAGTCCAGCAAGCCCCCTTCTTCTCCATTTGTGGCCCAGCAAGCCCCCTTTCTTCTAGTTCAGGACCCAGCAAGCACCTTCTTGTTGCTTTGTGGCGCAGCACACCCACTTCTTTCTGGGTATGGACCAGCAAGCCCCTTCCTTCTGGGTTTGAGTCCAGCAAGCCCCCTTCCTTCTGGTTTGTTGCCCAGCACTCCCCCTTTCTTCTGGGTATGGTCTTACAAGCCCTCTTCCTTCTGGGCTCAGGAGCAGCAAAACCCTTCTCTATTCATTCCAGCCCAGCAAGGACCTTTCCTTCCGGCTTTGGGCCCAGCAATCCTCATTCCTTCTGGCGTTTGACCTTTCCAGCCTCTCTTCTTCACTGTTTCAGTAGAGCAAGTCCACTTCTTTCTGGCTTTGAGCTGAGCAAGCCCTCTGCCATCGGGGTTTCTTCCTGGTGAGCCCCCTTCCTTCTCAGTTTCTGCACAGCAAGAATCTCCCTGACGGATTTGCTGCCCAGCAGGCTGCTTTCCTGCTCCATTCTGCCCCAGGAAGCCCCGTTCCTTCTGGCTGTCTGCCCAGCCCGCCACGTTCCTTCTGTGTTTTAGTCCAGCCAGTCCCTTCGTTCTGGTTCCTGGCCCAGGAAAACCCCTTTCTTCTGGGTATGGAGCAGCAAGCCCCCTTTCTTCTGGCTTTGGGCACAGGAAGGCCCACGTGTACAAAGGGACTGTAAAAAGCCCAAGCAAGCAGATAAAAATGCTTGTGCTGTTCCCACTGGACCTCGTGCCCGGTGCAGGAGGGAGCCACACCGGGCGAGAGAGCGCGGATCTCAACACCCTGTTGCTGCAAGGCCCTGTGATCTGCTGGGAAACGGGAAGAAGAGCGCGATACCACACACCGTGACAGCAAATGTGGGCCTGAACTGGTTGGCCACTGCCTGGCCAGCTCACTCAGATCAGCCACCAGCAGCAGCGCAGGAGTGCATTTGCAGCAGATGATCAGGATCGTTCACAGCTGAGCATCAGACACAGCACAGCACGGCGTACGCTACCAAGAACTTGAACAAACAGGATGTGTGAAGGGCCCAGGACTGCCACAGAGCCCAGGGAGGCTGATGGCTGCACCCTGCCAGCGAGGGGTGGACGGAACCTCGCGAGGCAGAGCTGCGCAGCCTCAAGTTAGGGATTGTTCCCAGCTCTCTGAGCAGCAGGGCTGTGCCTGTGGGCAGCGGCACGTGGAAAAGCAAAACTAATCGAGACAAAACAAACACACTGGAACTGAATGACAGTTCCAAGGAATCGCTGTTGACTACGAGCAACTGAACCCATGGCACAGCCCAAAATCCCAACAGTGTTACAAAAGAAGGCAGGCTGCCTGGCTGCTTTTCCACCCCGCTCAAGCCTTCACACAACGGAGGGGATACAGGTTTTAAGAACGGAGCCTTTATTCATGACACTGGAAAGATGTTTGAAAGCATCTGGTTTTCCATAAGGAGGAAAGGAAATCTGGCTTGCTACGATGCATTGATATAAAAATTGTGCCTCTAATACGAAAAAAAGGTTTGCATACTTGAGAGCACAGTACCATCAAGAATTCCTAACAGTATTTTTGACAGAATAGGGAGAACAAGCTCTCGTGGACAGAACTTAATAGTACAAAACAATCACAAGCATCCTACAGTGAATTCTGACCATTTGTGAGCGCAGTTCCAGAAAAGGACACTCTTGAATTGTCGTTCACACAGCGTTGGCTTCTACTCTGCCAGGTCTTAATCAAGCCTTGAAAGGGCTCCATACTCAAAGCACAACAGACCTGAGTTTGGGTGGCCTTGACCCTACTGCGAGAAAACTCCTGCAGTCAAAGTACAGTAGGATACAGAGATGCACAGAGATGCAGCAGGAGAATGCACCTGCTAAACAGCAAATCCAACACGCACACCAATTTCTGATCTACCACAGAGTGCTGTCCTGGGAGGCACTGAAAAATGACAAAACTACCATTTCTGTTCTCTGCTGCACAGCCATGCCAAACACGCACGCTGTTCTCTGCACACACGCTGCAGCCAAGGCCCCTGAGCAGAGCAAACGCTGCCTACAACACGTCGGGAGCTCCGCTTCCTGCTGCTGCCAAAGGCTGAAAGCTGGCTCTAAGAGCCCACAAATCAAACAGCTGTCAAAGAGGAGCCATCAGGCAGATAACAGCACGAACAAAATGAAGTCTCACACGCAGGCTGTGGCGTTCCCATGAAGTCACAGCTCCCCAAGAATCAAACGTGATCCTCTCTAGAAGTGTCGGGAAAGCTTGAGGCGTCGCTGCTGACAGCAGCCCTGCTGATTTTGGCTACTCTCACTACAGTCAAAAACTGGAAAAGCCCACTTTCAGGCAGGATCCATGCGGTGCTGCAGCCCAGGTGGGCTTTTTCTCTCCGTGAAAAGCCTTCACGTTAAGCTTACCTGACATAGGAAGTCACTAACTATCCTGTGAAACGTGGTACTCCTGAATCCACGAGCCTTTCTCCCCTGTGCACAGGGCCCTGAGCTTTTCAGCCGTCCGAGGGACAATGTGTGAAAGCAGCTCCGTGGCTGTGTGTCCTGAAGGTTCATCGCTGGCAGAAACGTCCAAATACACAACAACAGGGCCGGTGTCCTTTGACAGCTCCGCTGCCACAGAGAGCTGGCCCTTCTGCAGCTCTGACAAGCTCTGCTGGCATTCTTCAATCTGCTCTCGAAAGAATCAGCCAGTTCTTGAACTTCTAATCTGACCGCAACTCGCTCTACTTCCACTTCACCGTCTGAAAACAAACCCAAGAAGAGATTTCCTTAGCTCTACTCACTGCAGCCAGAGATCAGCAGCTTTTGTTCTGTAGGATCTCCAGGGTAAAACAAAGCCAAACCGACTGCAGGAGAGACCGGAAGGAACTGTAAAAACCACCCAACCGACTCACCAGCATCACCTGTAGCTGTCCAAATTCAAGCAGTTTGATGTCTCAGAGGGCAATGAGTTCATTTCTGTGGCGATGACATGCTTTGCACACACCTCAGCAACTCGGCCCCTTCTCACGAGGCTCCTGGAATACTTCTGCTGTGTCCGGAAGAGGAGCTTCAGCTCTCCAAGAGCTCCTTCCGCTGAGCGGCATCTCTGGCCCAGCTGTAAAGTTCTGCCCTCTCTTTGAAGACAATTCCTTCACATTCTTCTCCAGTGGCTTTGTACCCTCAGCTCGACGCTCATCATGCACTGAAGTGAATGAAAAGCCCTGCCTTCTCCAAATGGAAGAGCCCAACAAGTTCCAGCGTTTGAAATTCATTTTAGCAATGCAACACTGCCTGCACCACGCTGCATAGCAAGTTGTTTGATTCTTAAGCTATCCAGTGTGCTGGCCACAATTCCCCAGCGAAATTTCAGGCCTGCTGAATGATGTGCTAAGTGATAACGCAGCACTGTTAGCATCCCAGGTGCTCTCCTCTTAAAGACCGTGAAATAACTTCATGCTGGCATCTGACAGAACAAGAATCAACTGAAAATAATAAACGGAGGCCTCACAGCTGCATGTCCTCCACGCTTTCTACGTGCGCATTACTGGCTTTTAACATTCTTCAATTGACACATCTTCCAAAGCTACAGAAAAACTTGGAAGAACTGCAGAAACGCGTGACAGACAAGCATTTCTGGTGGGAGAAGTGACACCGAAGGAGAAAAAGAGCAGGTAAGGCGAGAAAAACCCCACAGAAGTCATACTGTGATGAAGAGATGAGGAAAGGCAGACAGATATTGAAGAAAGAGGAAGACGACATTCTGCAGACTTCACCAGATCAGCTGTTCCAATTAAAGGACACCACCTACTGTTTATTGGTGCTCTGAATCATTACACTAACCTGCAATTAAGGTCTGTTCTTTACAGGAGGCCAAACTAGAAGATTACAGTCATTGCAAGCTCCTCATCCTATTAGGCACGCTAGGGTCAAACACGAAATCCAGACACGAACAACTGTGTTAAGCCTTACAAAGCTACGCAAGGCTACTTCCAGTTAAACTCATCTCTACTTGAGCTTGCAGTTCTTCTCCTTCCTAAAAAGCTGCATCACCACCTCCTGGTAAATCCTGAGATACGTGAGCAGTTTCTGTGCATTCTGCTTCTTCGCTGCTCGCAGCTGACTGCACAAATTCCGCTGCTGTTCACTGGTTGCTCAGTATGTAAATCTGTACAAGGAAGGAAGAATAAGTCAGCACGATTAATAAAACAGGAAGCAAATAAGCCATGAGAGCCTAACTTTCAAACTACATTAAGGCTGGACACTAAGAATAACCGCTCCCTCCAATAAAGCCGCATTTCCCCCCTCCTCTCCCTCCCTCTCTCCCTCCCTCCCTCCCAGCAACTGATAAATTTCTCCATTTCTAATTACAACTGCAGTACAGAGAAATCATGACTGAAAGTTCTCAGTCTCCAACTTTCCTACAGCTCCTACAGCTCCTACTGCTTCAGAGCAGCTAAGTAACAGGGATTAAGGGAAGCGAACAACTGGGCAAAAAAACAAACAAGAACTCTTCATTACTCTTAAGACACACTCAAGCTGGACTCGACAAGAGACTGAAGTGCCTTTGGAGCAGTGCGATTCCAAAACGAGCACCATTTCCCTTGGAAACTGCTCTGAAATCCCTCCACTCTTACATACCTGCTAGGAGGAATTCTACCAGCCAAAGCCGTTTCTACTTCAGGAGGCAAAGCTGTTTCCTTTCTCTCCCTGAGACACCTGAGAAGCAGTAACACATTCCCTCTGCAGCTCAGGTTTGACTGGGGGGCCTGCTGCCAAGAACAAACATCAGTGGAAAACAGCTGATAAGACAGCTAAATACTGAGATCATTTCTGGCACGTACATTATGAAGCAACCTAACGATACTCAGAACATCTTGCATTCAGAGCTTTTGAAAAGGCATCCTTAGATAAAAAGACACTCATTCAGGATAACTAAGGAACTGTAAATCCGCCATGCTTTGGTTTTCTGCTGCTATCCAAGAACCTCCGCGCAATAATGAAGATTTCAAACTTGCCACTGCCACTACAGACACCAGCTTCCTTTGACATTTACTTATATTTCTGGTAGCCCAATATGTGCCACCTTTTATTACTATACAGACACTCACAGCCTCAGAAAGGGTGACTGGCCAAATGGAAGATGACAGGTTTTCCCAGTTGAAGTACTGTTAGAGTCTGTTGGTTCCAGCAGCACTATACTTTCCCCTTCCCTTTGAAATTCAAGTCTCAGACCAGGAACAGGTCAGCATTTTCATACCGTTACAAGAATTAGTGATGGCCTTACACCAAACAAAACACAGCTACAAGGAAGAGCCACACGGGAATCATCTGCAGAGGAAAAGCAAAACCAAGGACTGCAAAAGCCAGTCAGAAACGGAAAGCTGTCTGCAGCAGCTGTACTACCGATGAGCTCTGAGCATGTGAAATTCCAGAAGATCTGACACAGCGACTGAACAGAACTTATTTCACATCTCTTCTGGGAAGCACAAGAAAAACCAGGGCAATCCAAGGCATAAAGATGTAAAGCTACCGGAAAGGAATGGAGGCAGAGCAGCAGGATGCCTCCGAGTTGAAGGGATGACTCGAGTTGAAGCTGAAGCACACGTGCTGCTCTCGTAGTGGCCAGTCAGAGCGAGGCCTGCGCACATCCACTGCCAGTTCAGCTCAAAAAGGCACTCAGCACTTCACCCTGACATCTTAAACAGCGCCTCGCACACATTCCAAAATCCTACCCGCAGCTCCCTGTCTCACTGCAGACCAACGCTGAATCCTGCATAAGGCACGTTTCTGCTCTCACGTGCAAACAGCTACAGCTCAGCATCACTCAAGTTGAAAGTCTAGGATTTGGAGATCACAGACCTGCACTGGCACTGAAAGAATCGACGTCCTATTAAGACAGAAGAACTCAATGACCAGCACTAATGAATGACTGACTAATGAGCAGCACAGCTGAATAAATTACTAGCTCAGTTAACGCTCACCTTCTTCCAGAACTTTAAACGAGAAGTCGGAGGGCCCATCTTGTGCTGGAGGAGCCAGCTTGGATGCCTCGCTCTCCCAAGGTTCCTGAGCTGCACTGCAGCTTTTGGCTGCTTCAGCCACTCCCGGTTTTTCCTGCTCTGCTTTCTGAGATGTTCAAATTCCATCAGCGCTCCTTCCTGGAGGATTAAAGCCGAATCCAAAGAGGGAACCGATGGCCGAGGTCTTGCCAGATGGGAATGTCTTTTCGTTACTGAAAACGCTCTTGACACATTCAGACCTCAATACAAACTTTGGAGCAGACACCACGGTTTTTCTTGGCGTTTCACAGGTGCTTAAAGCCTCTGAGGCCTCTACAGCGGCATCAGAACCATCACCACCATGGCTGAGGTCGCTGTGTTCCCTGGTAGCTTCCTCCAGCACAGCTACAGAGTTGGCACCACAAGGAGACGCTTTGGCTGCGTTCGTACCAGAAACATGAGCTGTTATCCACGTGCCTTTCTCACAGCTGGGCTCACTCTTGTCCCTGTTTGCTGTTTCTTGAGATTGGAGTGTAACTCCACCACCTGAGGGCAGTTCATTTTTGTCTTTTCCATCCATGTTTGTCAAGCCTGCTGTACGCTCCTTGGGCGGATCGTCTTCCTTAGCGCAATTTGTATTGCACTCCTCTATGCCAAATTTAAATCCACCTGGAGGCATCCACACTGAGAAGTTACATCTTCCCTCTGCAGGCTCCGCTTCAGCATCTGCCAGATTCTGAGAGGTACACGCTGGGGTTTTCCCATCGAGTTGAAAGGACAGTTCTTGAAGAGATACTGCTGAACGAGTTTTGTTTGCGTTCTGCAGGGCAGCACATTTTGGGGCAGCGGGTTCATTTCTCACTGCAGAGATGTTACAGTCCCACTGCCCTTCCTTTGTCGCAAAGGCGGATCCTAATTTGTCCTGTGCGGCACTGACACAGGACTCTGCAGGTTTTAAACCTGTGGGTGCAAACGCAGGTCTTGTAAAACAGCCTGCTTCAGGCAGAGGTGGATTTGCGCTCGCCTGGGGCAGGCCGTAGTTGTAGCGATCATCACCTCCACGAGGAGAAAGGATTCCAGCAGACGGAGCATCAAAACACACAGGTGCACCACAGGTGCCTTGAGGAAGCACAGCAGCACAAGTGCTGTGCAGAGGCGGCGCGTGGATCGCTTGTTGCTGAGCACGTCGACGTGCTGAGGTGCAGCTCCGTTCGTGCCACAGACAGGCGCCTACAGAAAAACACACCGTTACTTCCTCGTGCAAAAGCCTGCTGCTTCAGGCTGGGAAGCAAGATTTCCCTTCAGATATTTGCAAATTTCTTACTTACACTCTCCCTGTAATTAAGCCACTCTTCTAGCATATGGGCTGACAGCAGTCCCAAGGCATTTTCAAATCCAGTTCTCCAGAGTTACTGTGAATTTTTATTATAAGGGCGCTGCAATTGTCCTCAAAATAAGTAGCTGTCAGTCTCACCTATTCAGGAACAATTCAGCCCGATGCCCGGTGTTTTCTTGGTTTTCATCTACAGCCCATAGGACAGTGAAGACTGAAAATGACTGCCTCAGCTTTACCATAATAAAAAAGAAAAAGAAAGAAAGAAAAAAAGAAAGGAAAAAAAGCAGCAAACCTGTTGGAACAAAGAAGGGAACAGAAGTGACAGGAAAAGAGCAGTATTTTCTTTTACACTTGGGACGAGCAGTGCTTACAAATAGTGTATTAGTAGGCAGAAACCAGCAGACTAGGAGACACTGGAAGTCAAATTCTATCTTAACGTCCTGCAGACACAAAGAAAAAGCCCAGTACGTGTCAGGATCAAACCGCTGCTTGCAATTCATACGCAGCCAAAATGCAGAACGTTTCATGGTGTGTTCCAAGACGCCAAGCGTGCTCTTTAACAAGCCTTTAACTCTGACATGAGCTGCTCATAAGATTAAAGCAGAACTACGGAACATCTGTAATTACTGGTTTTATTACCACACTGGCTTTTTCGGTCGCAGGCCAACATTTCCAGCACATCTTGCCCAGCACCATCTCCTCTTATTAGTTTTGACCTTGGTTTAGGAATCTGGCGAGCAAAGAAAAGAATTGCTACAGCTTCTTGACAACAAAAAGCAAATCTCTTCATTTAGTCTTACAAGTTAGGAAACAAGCTTGTTTCTTTTCAGGAAAGGACACGAGGTGAGAAACTGAACGATTGCAAACAGCTGTAAGAGCGCACAAGAGAAAGCGATGTTCTGAGCGCAAGCACTTGTGCAAAAGGAAAACTGATTGCATTCCATAAAGCACAGAATTCAGCTTCATCAAGCTCTGCTGTCTATGCAAGAAGTGTGCGAGAGCTACTCGGGTCATTCCCCTCCCTCCCGTATCAATAACCTTAATGTCAGTTAATGCGGCTGCATTACAGAGAAGGGAACAGCCTACAGCAAATACACTCGTTAGCCCTTCAGAGTCGTTGCACTGCTGACAAGTGAAACAGCTGAGATTTTCTTCACCCCACTTGAAATCTTTCCAACAAGTACGGAAGAGTAAGATTTGGCGAGGAGACAGCCTTAAAAACAGCAGCTAGTTTTTGGAACGCAGGCGTTCAGTGCGTGCACAGCGAGAGCACTCAACTGCAACCACTGCAGGCACAAACGGAACAGGGACCGACACGGAAAGCGTTCAGGTACCACCAGGCTGCGAGTTCACACGCATCTCTCCATCGTGCCGCGCTGCTCTGCGCTGTTTCCAGCAGGAAAGTTCCAGCACGCACGTAGAAGCGTCCCGCTCCGCACAGCGCCGGCCTCGCGACCGCCGCCTGCAGCGCGACGTCAAGGCGCCCGCGGAGCCGCTCGTCTCCAGCGAGTTCCCCAGCGCCATCGCCGGGCCGCGCCGCCCGCCCGGACGCCCCGCTCCCCCACCTGCCGGCGGCCGCCAGCCCGCGCTCGCCGCTCTCCAGGAAGGCCCGCACGGAGCGGAGCGGGGCCGGGGCGGCGCGGGCTCGGCCTCGCTGAGGTCCCCCACGTCCCCGCAGCCGGAGCCCCGGAAGCGGAGCGGGCGCACGACGACAGGCATCGCCGCGGGCAGCCGGGCGGAGCCGCGCGGTGAGGACGCGATGACCGAGCGCAAAGGACCCCGCCCGGACTGCCCGCCCCGTTCGGCGGACTGACCAATGGGAGAGGCGAGGGGGCGGGGCCGAGCGCGGGCGCCCCGCCAACGGCGGCTGCCGACGCGAGGCCGCCGCGACGGCGATGGGGCCGGCGGGATGGCGGAGCCGCGGGGCTCCGCGCGGAGAAAGCGGCGCTCCGCCGCCCCGTGCCTCGGGGACGCCGGGCGGTCAGGGGAAGGCACCGCCGCCGGCCCCGTCCGTCCCCCGTCGGAATCCAGCTGTTCTCGGAGGCGGAACCGAGCCGTCCTCCGTCGTTGCGGCGAGGCGCCGTCCCCGCTGAGTGACGTCATCAGCCCCGCGACCCGAGCAGGGGGCGGCCGTGCGGAGCAGCCGGGCCTCCGAGAGCCGCCTCGGCTTCTGCAGGCGGCTGTTCGGGGGGCACCGGGGCGGGGGCCGGGCTTCAGGTGCTGCAGGGGCCGCGTGCCGCTCTGCGTTGGCCTCGTGACGTCGCTGCGGTGCTCGGGGTTCCGCTCGGCGGGGGCGGCTGCCCTGCGTCTCCCCGCCTCCCCCACCCCGTGCGTTTCACTGCCCTCCTCCCCTCCCCCTGCCACGGATCGCCCGCAACCCCCCCCGTCCCTCTGTGTGACCCCCGGGGTTGCGCCTCCCTCCCCCTTCTTCCCCCTTCGTTTCCCCCGTTCTGATCCCTGTCGTTCTCTTCCGGGCCTCCCCTCTGCGCCTCCCCCATTCTGACCCCCAGGCTCCACCTATCTGTCCCCCCGCCCTCCCGCTCCCTCCCCTGTCCCCCGTTCTGATCTCTAATGTCCCTCCACCCCGTCACGAGTCTCCCCATTCTGTGCCTTACAGTCCCCCCACTTTCCCAGTCCCCTCTATCTGACCCCCAGAATCCCCTCTCCTCCTCCCGGGTACCCCCGCTCCATTTCCCCCATTCTGATCCTTAGAGTCTGCCATCACCCCCCATTACCTTCTCTTTGACCCCCAGGGTCCCGTGTCCTCCTTGCTCCCTCCGCCTTCTGACCCCTTTTTCTGACCTCTGGAGTCCCCTGTGCTCCTCCCTGACCCCTGGAGTCAGTTCCCCCATTTTGACCTCCATTCCCCCCCAACCGGACTCCTTTTCTGCCCAATAGAAGCCCCCCACAACCCCTGGCTCTCTCCTCCCACCCCTTCCTCCCTCCAGCCCCAGATGCGCTTTCTGCCTTGCAGAGGCTCTGTTCACCCTTTTCCCTTCCACAACCCACTAAATTCCCCTCCAACTCTTTTTCAACCCCAGAGGCACCCCACTCCCCTCTTCTCCCCCAGATACTCCCCTGAGGTCTACCCCAGACTCCCACCCCATAGAAGCCCCCCACAACCTCCTCACCACTCCTAGACCCCCTTTCCTCCCTGTAGAGACCCCACTCCTTTTTTTTTCCCCCTCACAATCCTCCATCCACTCCCAGACCTGCCCTTTCTGCCCTACAAAAACCCCTTTTCCCCCTTTCAACTCCTCAAGTTGCCCTCCACAATATTCCCCTCCACAATGTACCCCTCCACCCCCAGACCCTCCTTTCCACTCACAGAAGCCTCTTTCTCCTCTTTTCTCCCTCACAATCTCCTCCCCACCCCCAGGTCCCCTTTCCACATCACAGGGCTTCTAGCCCACCACAATCCCCCAGTTTCCCTCTTCCACCCTTTCTCCACCTCCAGACCCTCTTTCCAGCTCACAGAAGCCCCACTCACACCTTTTCCCCCGTAGATTCCCCACAACCCCCTATCCACCCCCAGACTTTCTTTCCACCTCTAGAATCATAGAATCATAGAATCACCAAGGTTGGAACAGACCTAAAAGATCACCCAGTGAGGAAGACTGTGAAGCAAAACAGACCTGGCTGGCCTGAAAGGGTCAAACAGGGAACACGCGGCCCCTCCTGAAAGGGAAGGACTGCCATGTGGAACTGGCAAGCATAAGCTACAGCTTCTTCGTTCCGTGACCAAGAGCAGAACGTGTTCTGTGGAGAGAACGCCTTTGGATCTCTGTACTGACCATCATCCACAAAGAGCTGATTAAGTAATGACGTCTTGCTGTCAGCTGCATGAATGCTATCTGATTGAAGTATTGTACACTCCTGTAGCTAAAAGATATAAAAGCCCTGTAACAACAATAAACTTTGCTTCTTGCGCCACCAGAGCCTCAGCCCGTCTGTCCCAGGCGTCTTGAGCTGCTCTCCGTCAAGGAGAGTTTGAGGATCTGAGGGATTTCACAGAAGAACTGATCCACAGCATTGCCATGGCAGAGAGGCAGTGAAAATGTATTGGCAGTGTGCAGCAGGGAATAGAGAAGCCCAGTGCCCCAGGCAGCTGCTGCCATGGTGGCACAAGCTCTGCTGTCCATCAAGGTCCCGTAGTGCAGGGGTTTGCAGATGGCAATGTTGAGTCACAAAAATGACTCTACACCAGGTTTGCACACTCTTTACTCTGAGTTATGCTTATGCAATTCTGGGTGCACTCGAACCTAACTCAATTTTACTCATATTTTACACCACATTTACTAACACTTTACTTTGGCTTTACTCACACTTCATTTTTGAGTGTGTTTCACTCACACTTTAATCAAGGTTTACTCAAATTGCTCTTCAACCTTACACACACTTTACACAGGGCTTACTCACATTAATCTCAAGGTTTTACAGACACCCTATTCCTGGTGTGAACACTCTGTCATCCGGGCCTATCCACACTTTAATACGGGTAGACTCACACCTTACTGTGGGTTTTCCTCAAACTTTACTCCACATTTACCAACACTTTGCTCCGGACCAACCCACACTTTGCTCTGGGAGTTTCTCACACTTGACTCCAAGTTTACTCACATTGGACTCCCAGTGTATTCACCATTTTCTCCAGGTTTTACTCACATTTTGCACCAGTCATGCACACTCTTCACTCTGAGTTTAGTCTTACTCTACTCTGGACAGATTCACACTTTACTCTGGCTTTTACTCACACTTTACTCTGGGTTTATGAACACTGTACTCTGGGTTTACTCATACTTCTGTTTTGACTGTGTTCCACTCACATTTTACTCAAGGATTCCTCAAACTTTTCTTCAACATTACTCACACTTTGCTCCTGGTTTACTCACACTTTTCTCTGGGCTTTACTGGCACCCTACCCTGGGTGTGTGCACTCTCTCTTCAGGCCTACCCACACTTTACTCCGGGATTGCCTCACACTTGACTCTGAGTTTGCTCACACTTCACTCCATGTTTCCTATAGGAAAGAAAGAAGATTTCAAAGGGCACCCAAGAAAAATGTTTTCTGATTTTACAAGGTGCATCTTGTTGCTTTTGGAGCACCATTGTCCAACTGATGTTGATTGAGGGTGTCTCCTAAGGAGATCTGCACAGGCAGGAGAAGCAATTGCTTGAGGTCTGACACAGTACAGACAACCTGACTGCTCACCTCCCCAGGCCTGACGTGTCTGCTGTATGCACCTGGCCCTTGCATCACTTTTCCCTACACCAGAATTCTCCACTGCAGTCTGCAGCTGGATGGTACAGTTCCTTTACACCATTCCTTTACCTGCTTCCCTAAGAGAACTGTCTGCACGCAGGCACAGGTTGTTGCTTCCTGCTTTAAAACAAACAACAGTAAAGCACAATACAATTTGCCTAAAAAGAGAACGCACTCCTCAGCCATATCCCATCAGTGTGGTTCACCTTCCCACTAGGACAAGTACTTTACATCAGTAGACAGGAAATGATAATTATTAATGGGAAAAAATGAAAAGGAGCAAAGCTCCACTGTGTGATCACAAGCATCCCATGCCATCTCCAAGGGCCCCAGAGATCGTGTCTGGGACAGGCAGCTTTCCAAGAGGACCTGCAGGAGAGCAGAGCCCTCTGGAAGCTGCAGATGGAACTTGGGAAGAAGGTCTCAGGGCAGTACGCTGCCAATGTTGTTTTTGTCCCTGCAGCTGCAGCCCAACCCAGCACACTCAATGCCCCCAGACAAGTCACTGGATTCCTGGGGGTGACCCAGTGCTGAAATGGCCACTGGGAAGCCAAGAAACTCTGATTTCTTCTCAGTGAACACAAACATCCATGAACCATTTTGGGTCATCGCTGTCAGACTCTCTCTACTGCTGAGTCCCTCTCCATCTGCCCTGCTGGCTCAGCAGCACCACTGCAGAGCCCTCCTTTGCCTGTGGGCCCCCCAGCTTCCCCTCTTGGGGTGGGTCCAGAGGAGGGCACTAAGATGATCAGAAGGCTGGAGCAGCTCTGCTAGGAAGAAAAGTTGAGGGAACTGGACTTGCTTAGTTTGGGGAAGAGAAGATTCTGAGGAAACTTCATTGTGCCCTTCCAGTACTTCAAGGGAATGTATAAAGAGGAGGGGGAATGGCTGTTTAGCACAGTGGCTGGTGATAGAACAAGGGGGAGCGGTTTTAAACTGAGGCTGGGGAGGTTTAGGCTAGATATTAAAAGGAGGTTTTTCACCCAGAGGGTAGTAAAGCCCTGGGACAGGTTGCCCACATAAGTTGTGGATGCCCCATCCCTGGAGGCTTTCAAGGCCAGGCTGGGTGAGAGGCTCTGGGCAGCCTGCTCTGGTGGTTGGTGACCCTGCCTGTAACAGTGGGGTTGAAACTAGATGATCTTTATAGTCCTTTTCAGTACAGGCCATTCAATATTTCTAAGACAACATAGGCATGTTTCAGAAAAAACTGAGTCATTTGTTCAGGCAGATGAGAAGACGACCCTACTGAAATTTGTCCATGACATTTTCCTCACTGCATCCTTGAGCTCCTGGTTCCGCATGCTGTAGATGAGGGGGTTTAATGATGGAGGCACCACTGAGTAGAGAAATGAAACCACCAGGTCCAAGGATGGGGAGGAGATGGATGGGGGCTTCATGCAGGCCAAAAAGTCAGTGCTGAGAAACAGGGAGAGCACAGCCAGGTGAGGGAGGCACGTGGAGAAGGCTTTGTGTCGTCCCTGCTCAGAGGGCATCCTCAGCACGGCCCTGAAGATCTGCACATAGGACACAACAATGAAAACAAAACACGCAAATACGGCAAGAACACTAAGCACAATGAAACCAATTTCCCTGAGGTAGTCTGATTCAGAGCAGGAGAGCTTGAGGATGTGGGGGATTTCACAGAAGAACTGATCCACAGCATTGCCTCGGCACAGTGGCTGAGAAAATGTACTGACAGTGTGCAGCAGAGCATGGAGAAGCCCAGTGCCCCAGGCAGCTGCTGCCATGGTGGCACAAGCTCTGCTGTCCATCAAGGTCCCGTAGTGCAGGGGCTTGCAGATGGCAACGTAGCGGTCATAGGACATGATGGTGAGGATGC